CATCTTCACTCACGGAGGCTGTATCATCTTCATCTTGTGAAGCTTTCAGAGCAATATTCTTTCTCACTTTTGTATCTTCTTCTTCTGGCACCTTGAACTTGAGTTTTAGCTCATAAGAAATCAATGAATTAATGAGAGATTCAATAGGCAAGGTATTTAGATCTTTGGCTTCTTCAATGGCAGTCACTTTACTCTCCCAATCCTTCGATAAAGCATTCAGAATTTTTCTATTATTCTCACCTAGAGAGTATTCTTTCTCCAGCACCTCCAAATCCTTAATGAGGTCATTGAATCTACAATACATCTCATCAATATTTTCATGAGGTTGCATCTTGAAGGATTCATACTTTGTAACTAGAATGGACCTCTTTTGTTCTCTAACATTCTCACTACATTCATGAATTTCTCTCAATTTATCCCAAATTTTTTTGGCTGACTTGTAGCCTTTGACTCTAATAGATTCATTTGAGTCTAAAGCACAATATAATACATTCATGACTTTTGCATTTAATGTGACATGAGCTCTATCCGCAACAGTCAGTTCACTTTTTATTTTTGGTTTAAATCTCTGAGTATTTTCATCTATAAGAGAGGTATCATATGGACATTCACTAATAATAAATCACAATTCAATATCAATAGATTGCAAAAAAATAATCTTTCTTTCTTTCCAACTTACATAATTTGACCCATTAAACATAGGTGGTCTAATGACAGAATGTCCTTCAAAAAACATAACATTGTTGGTTGTCATCTTTACTCCAAAGCCAATTGAACTTAATCTCTAGGAGACCAAGCTCTGATACCAATTGTAAGGCCCGAAAATAACCCTCTTTTCTAGGCACCACACAATGGAGCAGTTGATGAGAAGGCACAAGTGCTTGTGAGTAGAAGAAATAAACAAAGTACAGATTTCAAACATAACAATAAGTAAATAAAAAGGAAAGAATAGCAAACCAATTAACTACCCAACTCCTCTTGAGCTTATAGGTTAATTCAAACAAGTTACTTCAAGTTGATGAATTACAATCACTCTTGTGTACAAAGGAAAGTTCATTTCTTTCTTGCCCCGAACTCCACTCAATCAAGCCAAGATGTTTTACTATCCCTCAGGACAACCCTCACAAAGCTACACTCATGAAATATTCACTCACAAATGAAAAGCTTACAATGAATCTCACACCACTAAGACTACAAATCTTCCTTGAAGAGTATTTTCTCGCTAAAATCTCTCTAGATCTTTTGTATCTTCAGTGTGCAAAAGTTGTTTGAAATATCTGACCAACCACTATTTATATAGGATTAAGAAAGTGCCTCATTAATGCTTCCAACGGATAGAAAGTAGCTGAAGAGTCAGCTAGCCGTTGGAGTGTCGGACGTCCGATAGCCCTGTGTTATGCGTCCGACAGCAGGCAGTGAGTTGAAGAGATTTTCTTCAATTCTTTCGGACGTCCGGTGCAAGCTTTTTGTGCGTCCGACAGCAAACAAAGAGATTTGAGAAATTATCTTGTTTCTATCGGACGTCCGATAGAGACATATTCAGCGTCCGATAGTTTCGTCGACTTCGAAGGATCCTATCGGACGTCCGAAGCATGTGTCCGAAGTTGTGCAATGATTATTGGACGTCCGGTACTATCTTCTTGAGCGTCCGACAGGTTCAACATACTCTGTCTTTTTCAAATGTGCTTAATCTTTGAATCTGATTTGATTCATTTCTGAAAAAGCTTTTGATGAGATGTTAGCAACATCCATTTGTTTTGTATTCATCAAAAGCTAGGGACCAAGGTCAACAAAAAGTGAGTAAGCGAGCAAATGAGCTCTTAGGCGTTCGTTCTGAGATGCTCTTGAAGATCCTCTTGAGCGCCTGAAGAAATAACGATTAACTATCACCCACAAATACTTACAAACTCCTTGCCAAACAAGAAAGAATGTACACTTGTTTAATACTAAGACAATGTCTTAAAAGAGTTTTAATATCTCGAAAATCGAGATTCAAAAGTCAGAATTTAAAGTCACAAGAGAAACTTGCATCCTCCATGAAATTGAGTTTAAAATGGTTTATCGATATCGAGAGAGAGTGACGAGTTCTCAAAAACTCATTTCTTAAGAATTCGGAAAATTTCCATTTTGCACGACAATCATTGAAATATCAGATCTTGAGTTTGGCATGTCCAAAAATGGAAAAATTTATACCTTCGGAAATTAGGTTCGAAGTACTAGAAGTTCTTAGAAAATACCTTTCCAAGATTCTAAATGGAAAGCATTCATTTTTTTCAGCTCGAAGTTGCTGATTTAAACAAGCAAGACAGAACCAGTCTTGGTTTCGGCGATATTTGGAAATTTGACAAAATTCATAGAAAGTGAACCAGTCTTTGAAATTCGTAACACAATAAGAGTTCCAAACAAGGTTTCAAACACAATAAATGGAACTAAATTCAGAGTTTTGAGCATCAAGATATAACAATTTAAAGTCAGTTGATTTTTGTAATCTGACCAGTGAATTTCCAGATTTGAAGATCAATTTTTGGGGTATTATTTAAGTATCGAAATGGTATTGAAATCATACCAACTTTGGTACACTTAAACTTCCATATATGGGCTATTTCTCTAGCAAAGTTTAGGTAAAGACTTGTACGGGAAGGCAGTTAACGAAACGACCAAAATTTGGGAAAATTTTCAAGGCTAATCTGCCAACCGTAGTTCTCTTTCTTTTTCAAACGTTTTATCCAACACAACTAGCCCCAATTAGCTCAAATTTTGAAACCAAAGTTCCAAAAACATTTAATAAGCAATTGACACAAAAATTTTTGAAATATAACATCCCAAAATAGATTTGACCATTCGGTCAGCAAGAAAGGGAAAAGTTTCCAGTTTCTAGCTTTGTCGCATTTTCGAAATCAAGCTATATCTAACTCTATACAAAACTCAAATTGAGAATGGTTAGTGGCATTGGAAACTAGGTTCCAAAGGCTACAATTTATCAGAAGACATCATTTTGAAAATCTTTTCACAAATGAGACAAAATCAAGCCACAAGGTGCAGCTTCCAGTTTCATTCGTATGAACAGTCAAAATAGAACAGCCAACTTTGTCGACTCACTGCGGTTCACTAAAAATGAACCAGCAGGAGAATTTTATATCATTTGAAAGCTATGAATGTCTAGTTTTGAATGCCGCAAATGACACTCAATTTCGAATTTTGTACAGAGAGTTACGTTCGAACAAAGAGCACTATTCGAGAACCCCTACTATACGTTTTTCCAGATTTGAACCTTGCCAAAACTCAAGTTTTGTGCAACCAAATGAAACGATTTTTGAAAGACACTTTGTACACACAATATACAACATATAACCATTAATTTCACAGTCAACCAAGCATCAAAGTTTCAAAACTAAATCAGAACAACATGCACAGAATTTTCAGCCAGCTTGCTTTCTAAGTTTTCCTTCGATTTCTCTCCACTTTCTAACCGTAATTAAGCTATATATCACATAAACAACCACAACCACACAATTAAGCCTCAAGCCAGCTACCTAGAAACCTCATCAAGTCCGCTAGCCTATGATTTAAAGCGAAATAATTGGTTCCTGAAGTCTGCTAGCCTATTTTCTTGCTTAGGATTGTAAACCCATGAAGATTAACCGTTAAATTTCTTGTAATTTGAAAGATAAAAGAGGTGGAGTGGTTACCCTTAAAACCCTTGAAGAAAACCAGATTTTTCACCGAAATTTCCTCCAAGAAATTCCACTAGATTGCTTCTTACTCCAAGCTGGGATGAATCTCCAAGAAACTAGAAAGTTGGATGAAGATTTGCAAGTGAATTGGAGCCAAAGAAATGGAGTTTTTCTTCTTCCTTTTTCCTCTTGGTTGGTCGGCTGAATGAGGTGAGAGAGATGAGGTTTTGTGTGATGAAACTTGGAGAGAAAGAATGAAAGAAAGTAGTTTTCAACATAAGTAGATAAAGAGCGAAGAGCTCTGATGACCTGGATGGTTTTCGTCGTCCTCTCACGTGCCAAGCATGTGAGTTACCAGCCTTTTTTTTTCCGCGCAATGCGCCAGCCGTCTGCATATACTTCCTCTCTAGGGTTTTCGTAAATTTCCTCCGTTGCCGCCGCTCTCTCTTCTCCCCTTCTCTCCTTCGCCTCACCTTTATCCTCATCCTCAGAAGCTAAATCCATCCCAACACCAACAGATTACTCACGCGGTGATGCAGTTTCACTACTGCTGGTGGCAACAATAGATTGTTCACGTAGATTGTTGATTTTGATGGAGCTAGGCCTCTGTTACTGCTGTGCTTATTGGTGCCGGAGGAGAAAAATGAGAGCTAATTATATGGTTAGCTTGGGAACCGTGTCTTTCCCTTATGGTCTTGTGGTTCCGCTATCTGGACTAGAAAAGGTATGTTGTTTGGCTTGTGCGCCGCCTCTCTTCTCTTCTTCCTTTTCTCTTCTCTTTTTTTTTCCCGTTCCTTCCTCTTCCTCTCTCCTGTCTGTATTTTTTCCTCAGACTCTCTCCGTTCCCTCCTCCTTCGCCGCCACATCATCTCCCTCTATGACACCCAACATCACAAGCACCCCATCTCCCACCAGCCCTGGGATTCTAGGACTTCCAATCCCTCCACTAAATCCTCGCCATCATCAGCATCTTTCACTGCCTTCCTTCCTAGATCTCCACTCCCTCGCCTTTCATCTCCTCAGACTCTCTTCATTCCCTCCTCTGCCACCATATCATCTCCCTATCCTCTATTAGCTACCTAAAGGATGCCCGTAAGGTGTTGGATGGAATGCTTCACAGAGGCGTCGCTTTGACTATAGTTGGTTTTGGTGTGTTTGTAAGCCCACTTATACCCTCTCCTCTAAAAAGAAGTTGTCAGTCCCTTCTCTCTCATTCTCCGACCAACTGCAAAGCTAATGTTTCCCCGATTCTCCCTTAAATTTTAGAAAATTTTTGGGCTCTCCGGGACTGCAAAATCTATGGCTCTTTTATCTGCCACAGATTTGCTTGCAGTTGCCGAAAAGCCTTACATTCAATAGATCGATATAATTTCACAGTGTTCTGTATATATCTCTAAGTTTTTTAGGAATTTTAGTTTCAGAGAATCAACAACTGTTACTGCAGCCATGGATTAGAGGTATCGTTTATTTTTTGTAATTTTAAAAAGTTTTATGTTCTTTGAGTCTTCTTACAATTTTTATGTATTTTTGTGCTTCGTTTTTTTCTCTTTGTATTTCTTCTTGTTATATATATATTTTTAAATTTTTATGTTCTTTGATTTTTGTTACTATTTTTATGCATTTTTTTGATTAGTTTTTTTTCCTCTTTGTATTTTTTCCTGTTAATGGTGAATAAACTGAAAGTTGATTTTTTGAAAGTTTGATATTGCAGATTTAAAATGCTCGATTTGCCTAGAGTTCAGGTGGCAAGGAAGCTTTGATTTTGATGCCCAGAGTTAGAAAGCCTAATTATACCTTTGTGTAAGGTCCAGCTCATAGTTATACATTTATTCATTTCTTGTTTCTTTCATCCGAAAAAGTTTGGGTCTGAATGAACAAGCTGACCATCCATTTTCTTTTCTTTGACTAAAGTTCCTTCATAATACCTGTTGGCTATGATAATCTCATTGATCAGATAGCCTAGATCATAACTTACCCATTGCTTCAGTATAGTACTGTGCAAAAGTATATGTAATGTGCTTCAGTATGTTAACTGAAATTGAGTTGCCAAGGGTTTCATCTAGCTTCAAACATGTAGTAAAAATCGCACTCAATAAACATAAAATACTTAATTGATAAGTGGTCCTAGAAGGATGATTACAAGTATAAACTTTCAAAAGTACTACACCATGACAGCAAGATTAGAGAGGGTAGGACTGAGGCAGTTTGCCGGGTGGGGGAAGAGGAAATGTTGCTGTAACTCTTCTTCCTAGACTTTCCCATTTAATGTGGAATAGCTTTGCAACTCAATTGCTTGGTTAGCCTCTCTCTTTGCCTGACACAAGAAATTAATAATCTTCCCTTAAAGCTCATCCATAATTTTGCCATCACCTTTATTAGCACTGGAAGAACTAAAACTTCAAGATCTTAACTGTCAAAATGGTAGCTACTTTTTGCATAATTTTTGGGTCTAGCTGAATCCTATTCCCCTGTCTTGATGGTTTATATAGATAATTTCAGATTTTTTGTATTCTCATTTTCTGTTTTGGTGTATTTTTAGCAGTTAGAAATGAAGAGATCAGAAGTAAACATAATAGGTTTTTCACCTCCTAGAAAAAAGAAACCCTCCTCTTGTTTGGCCAAGCACTGTTCTGATAATGATATTTCTCTCCCTGTGTCCATAATTTTTCGAAACAAAGGAACCAAAAGGAATAGACATTTTCTTTTTTTTTCCCATCCTTGAGTTTTTGGCTTTTCAAATAATATGCCTAATAAATATGTTATGATTTTGTTGCTGTAGAGAGATACTGCTCTTCATTTCCTATTGCAATACTTACCAGAATATGCAAATCCAAGGTATGTTCTTGTGCATTCTCAAAATGCAGCATTCATTTGAGCTAATGAATCCTTTGCTCATAGCTAATGAATTCTTTATGGTATGTACATCAAGGGATGAATGATGATTACAATTGGTACAAATGATGTAGAACTACCTGTTTTAGTCATCTTTTAATTGTGTTTGTTTTCTTTTCCTAATTTTTGTGCCATTTCTTTTGTTTTGTTTATTTTTTGGCTTATTCTGCGATTGTTTTGTGCCACAAAGTTCAGTAATTGTTATACTCATCTTTCTGTTGATTATGTAGGTTATTTTTCTGTGCTCAACAGAGGTTGTGCTGCAGCGAAGTTTAGCCCTTTTATGTTACGGGATTTGCTTGCCTGAAGTGTAGTGAATTTGGGCAATCCCTGATAAGTCACCAAAGACTGATGCAATGAACATGTTAGTATCATCTGTTAGGTCAATATCAAAGCAGCACCTGTATTAACATAGATTTGCAATTGAGTAATTAGAGCCCCTCTATCACCTGTTCTATTTGTTTTTTACTATTTTTCTTCTATAATGTAGCTTGAATGTCATGATAGAACTGTTATAGGAGGGTATTATATCAATATACAACTATTGGTCTCATTAGGGAGTGGAAAATATTGTAGTACATGCTATGATTTGTGTACAGATTTTTTCCCCATCATATTCATTACTCTTATGATGTATATTTGCATGCAATCACTCTGCCAAACTGCCAGAGAATAGTTACTAATGATTGCTGAGGTTAGTTTCCACCATGAAATGTGAATAAAATGCCAAAAAGTTAATGACTTTTGTTCTTTTTTATATATTATGGACCAATCGCAAGATTAAAATTATAGTCAGTTTTCTTTGTTTTGGTTGCTTGTTGAGTCATTCCAAATGGAATGCCAAAAGTTTGACTTACTTTTGTTCTTTTTATATATAATGGACTGATCGCAAGAGAGAAATTACAGTCAGTTTTGTGTTGGGTGCATGCTGAGTCATTCCTAATGTCTATTTTTTTGCTTTGTTTTAGATGTTTGGTGTGTTGCGATTATTACTAGTGAAGTTGCACCTGCTGACAGCCTTAAATCTTCTGTTTTCTCATGAATTTTAGTTTAATTTGGTTGATCTTGTGGAAACTGATAGAATATATATATTGCCAACAAAAATGCAATTTTTTCCCTAGATTCAAAGAAAGTTAACTGTCAAAGGTTAATGGTTGTGTTTTCATATGGCTATAAATAATGAATTTTTTTCTAAAATCACGGTCAATGTTTTGAGTATGTTTGAACTTCGTCCTTGAGAAAAAAACCAGATTTTCAATAAAATAAGTTCTTGTTGATAAGAATCCAATTTTCAATGCAGTTTTGAATTTTGTTTGAGTTTGTACCTCAAATATTTGAGTTGAATTGCTTTTGGTATTTGACATTGTGACATATGGAGGAAATTTTGTGCTTGTTGTCTATTGATTTTGTATGAAACTGAAATTCTTTGTGTGTCTATTTTTCTATTGAAGGAATAGAATTTGGATCATTAAAAATGACGTTCTTAATGGTTGTCATGATCTTATGCATACCTTACATTGTGGGGCTGATCTTTTGCAATGGAGTCGAGGGACTAATTTACATTGTTGGGTATATTGGCTATTTCTTCTTATGCTGTTTATGATTATCCTTGTGATTTTTTGCTTCAGAATGTTGAAGTGCGGGATCATATGGTAGAGCAGCTAAGAAGGAGGAATCTGTTGTGCTGTGTTAGGCATTCATGTAGTCTGATTAGGAGTGCGACTCAATGTTAAATTGATTATTGTAATTTTTTAATCTGTTTAGTCTTTTTCTAGAGAACAGTTTAGTAGATGTTTTTAGTTAATGTGTAGATATCATTCTTATAAAGAATTCAACCACAAATATTTTGTAGTAGTTAGGTTGTTGATTAATATGGCTCAAATGCCATTTTAGTTTGTACGTGGCTTAATTTTTTATAAGTATTTATGTACAATTTTTTTTTTTTTTTGCATTCTATGTTAATCTGTTTTGTGGGTGATCATTTGTAACAGCCAAAATCTTGACTTGCAATTAGTGGTTTATGTGTTAAACTACAGCCAAATAATGATTTCTAGATAAATTACTATTTTTAATACCTCATATATTATGTTTTTTGGTCAATATAAAACTGGCCAGGGCATTTTCGATTTCCATCGCGCGAAGCGCGTTTGTGCCTCCTAGTATATTGAGTGCAAAAAGTCAACTTTGAATAGTTGTCGCGCGAGGGTTTCGTATCACCGTTTTCTCTCGGGTTTGATACACTCATGCACTAATTCTCCAAGGTACTTCCTTTAACACTATAATTATTCACTCTTACTAGTCTAATATTAATTTCTCAAATATCTAATTAGTCGCGTGGTGTGAATTTCGAGAAATTTGCGACACGCGCGCGATAAAGCGAAAATTTGAACTCACTCACCTCTAATTCTCAATTAAATTTTCTTAGTCTACTATTGACCATCCTTTATTCTTTATGGTAATTGTACTCTCGGATCGAATATTATCTCGAAAAACGTGTATTCACTATTCTTTTACTAAATGAGTCGCAGAAAATTAATTTTGCTAACGGGACGTTTTAAAAATATGAGTAAGACATTGTTTCATGTAAATGAATTTAAAATGGTTGAAATAAATTATTCGAGGAAAACGGTTGAATAAATAATTAAATAAACTAGTAAAATAAGGTAAAAATAAAAAAATTTCAGATTCTCACATGAGGGGCGAAGGGTGGCGGAGGAAGGGTAGGTGGGTTTGGGGGGAAAGTGAAGCGCGGGCTGCTGATGTTTGATGAAATGCTTGTGTTGAAATTCAAAATTTATGTTGATCATTTTCCTTTTCAACAAATAAATTGTTATCGTGTGAAAAAATATATGCAGCTCGGGGATTGAAATGCACTACTTTCAAAATATAAGGGCTAAACATGGATAATTTGAAAATGTGAAGGACTTTGTATGAAATCTTTCCAATACTTTTTTCCATTTTCTTGCTTCTTTTCCGCTCTTCATTTTATGTTTATATCTTCTGCCACCAGTGGAAGGGTTTCAAATCTTCTGTCCCCAAAGTAGTCTATGTCTCCTCTGTTCCTTATTTGTACAACTGTCACGTGTCTTTAGCCTTTTTGTTAACCCAAACTCAAATAAATCGATAATAATCGGTTTACAAATTTTGTCAATCCAAACTCAAACAAAATAAAAAAGAGTTTCAGTTGATTTCTATGTTTATGATCAACAAGACTTTTTTTTGTTAAAATGAAAATAAAAAAAAGTTTTGAATTATCTATTTTAATTGATTTTGACTAAACTTATCAACCGATTATTATCGGTTTATTTGAGTTTAGGTTAACCAAAAGGTTAAAAGACATGTGCCAGCTGTACAAATAACGGACAGAGGCACAAAGACTATTTGGGAGAGAGAATTTGAAGCCCCGCGGAAGCTCCCCGCTTGCCACCACCGGCCAGTGTCGCCACCGTCGTCCATTTCCTTTAGCAGCATGATAGAACGGTGGGGTTTTGCGGTCTCTTCTGCCACCATCTTGCTTATTTAAATTATGTCAAAACTACACAAAACAGCGATAGGCCCCAAGTTCCCCGATTTCTCCTTTGCAAAAACCCCTCTGAAACCGCACATAGCCCCTCCGCCACCACCAGCAGCGGCGAAGGTGGACGTTACCTCCATAACCAACCTCGTTCTCAAGACAAACCCAGAAATTTTGACTCAAAATTGGCCCACCCTTGTGCAATGGGCCCCTGAGCTTGTCCACACGATTCTCAAACGCCTGTGGAACCATGGCCCGAAAGCTCTCCAGTTCTTCAAAGCCCTCGACTCCCATCTCTCTTACACCCACTCCGCCACCAAATTCGACGACGCAATCGACATTGCTGCCAGAATGCGGGATTGCAAGACCCTATGGGCCCTTGTGGCTCAAATACGGGCTATAAAGCTCGGTCCTGGCCCGAAAACCTTCGCCATCATCCTCGAAAGGTATGTGGCTTCTGGAAAAGCTGATAAGGCGGTTGACCTTTCCTTGTCAATGCATAAACATGGTTGTCCTTAGGATTTGACTTCATTCAATTCTTTTCTTGATGTGCTCTGTAAGGCGAAGCAGGCTGAAATAGCCTATAATCTGTTTAAGGTGTTTAGGAGGAAGTTTAGAGTTGATATGATTAGTTATAACATTCTCGCTAATGGGTATTGTATAATGAAGCGAACGCCAAAGGCATTGGAAAATTTGAAGGAAATGGTGGAGAGAGGATTGGAGCCAAATGTGATGACTTATAATATAATTCTTAAAGGTTTCTTTAGAGCAGGGCAAACGAAGGAAGCTTGGGAGTTTTTCTTGCAAATGAAGAGGAGAAAATGTGAGATTGATGTGGTGACTTATACTACTATGGTTCACGGTTTTGGTGTTGCAGGTGAGGTTGAGAGGTCCCGTAAGCTGTTTGATGAGATGGTTGGAGCTGGAGTGCTTCCCTCAGTAGCAACTTACAATGCTCTTATTCAAGTTTTATGTAAGAAAGACAATGTGGAAAATGCAATTTTGGTGTTTGATGAGATGTTGCGGAGGGGCTATTTACCTAATGTCACTACTTATAATGTGTTCATTAGAGGTTTGTTTCGTGTCGGTAAAATGGACAGGGCAGTTGAGTATATGGACAAGATGAAAGAAGATGAGTGTGAGCCTAATGTTCAGACATACAATCTTGTAATTCGATATTATTGTGATGATGGAGAATTTGAGAAGGCCTTCGAATTGTTTGAGAAAATGGGTAGTGGGCATTGCTTACCTAACTTAGATACTTATAACATCTTGATCAGTGCAATGTTTGTCAGAAAGAAATCCGATGATTTGGTGATAGCAGGAAAGTTGTTGATAGAAATGATTGACAGAGGATTTCTGCCTTGAAGGTTTACTTTCAACCGCATT